ACGCCGCCGCCGACTACATTTCTAAGCGGGTCATCCAAGAGCAGCTACCATTAGAAGTCACGGACCCGGGGAGCGGAAGTTGCTCCAGGGCCTGAACCGGATCCACGAAAACTTGATGAAGGACCCGAGTCCCAGGGAACAATCGCTGGTAGAATGTGCTTTCATAGCCACAGCCCGGAGCATACCTAGGTGTTCCCCGGAAGGTGAAGCATTCGTGACGACGCGCTCGGTATCCGAGCGAAGCAATGCCGCTGAAGAGTCGACTCCAGAATCCGGAGCTGGCCACTTAGGATCTGCCGACCCCGGAGCCGACGAGCTGGGAACTGAGGGCGCGGAAGACAGGCTGACAGCCAGTCCCCGAAACCCCGACTCCCGGGATTCCGAAGAAGACCCGGAGGACGCTCGTAGGGAGCGATGGAGGAGGATTTGTTCCCACCAAGCGCACGACCCCGGACTAGCACCCCTGGTGAGTTTCCTCCGGGGCGAAACAGAGCAATTGTCCCTGAGGCAGACAACGCACCTAGCCAAGATAGCAGGCCAGTTTGTACTGGACTCCCGGGACGCGCTGTTCTATGTGAGCCGAAAGATCCGGAACGCCCCCGGGACGCTGCCGACCGTCTCCGCCTGGTGGTCCCACAGGACCTCCAAGAGGATACCTTGCACCACTGTCACGCGGACTTCCATGGCGCGCACCAGGGTATCATCCGGACTTATGAGAGACTACGCAAAGAATTCTACTGGATTGGAATGTTCAAGGACGCGGAGCGGTATGTCAAAGAGTGCGTGGATTGTGTCACGGCTAAGGGATTACCCAGGAACCCGGGCTCATCACCCGGCTATTCGCTGGCTACGCGACCGTTCCAAGTCGTCTCGATGGACTTCGTCATACCGTTGCCTCAGTCAGCCCGGGGAAACACAGCACTACTCTTGTTCCAGTGCGCGTTCTCGGGGTTCATCATGTACAGGGCCATGGCGAGCACCGATGCCCAGGACGTGGCCGAAGCTTACGAAGAATGCGTGTTCCGGAGGTTC